CACATGCACGCACGCTCACGCGCTCACACACAGCTGCCCACATGCACGCACGCTCACGCGCTCACACACAGCTGCCCACATGCACGCACGCTCACACACAGCTGCCCACATGCTCACACGCTCACATGCACACACACAGCTGTCCACATGCACACACACACACACGCTCACACACAGCTGCCCACATGCACGCACGCACACACGCTCACACACAGCTGCCCACATGCATGCACGCACACACGCTCACACACACACGCAGCTGTGCCGCACACCGCGGGAGGCACCAGCAGCCGGGGACAGCCGGGGCAGGCCTTGGCCAGCACCTGGGAGGGAGCAAGGCCCTGCGGCCACTGACTGGACCTGCCATTTCCGCGGCTGTCGGCCAGTAAACGTCTGCGAGGCGGGCCCCGGGCCTGGGGCCCCTACTCCTGCGCCGCGGGAGTGGGGAGCAGCCCTGGCCCGAGCCGGCTGCGGCGGAGCAGTGCTGAGGGTCAGGAGGCGCAGCGGGGTGGCCAGGGCCTCTGGCCGAGCGCCTGCTCTGCGGGAGGGCTGTCAACAGAGCAACCTTTTGAAAGGGCTCTGGGGTGGCGAAAGACGTCGCCATTAGCTTTGCTTTTTGGTCCTTTGCCACCTTCTAGGTGTCTGATTCCAAAGGGCACCTGAGAGCCAGGTACAGCCCCAGGCGTCTCACCTGACACCAGCGGTCCGGTGAGTCCACCCCAGGCCGAGCCGGAAGCTGGGCGCCCAGCCCAGCTGGGCACCCTGCTGGGCTGTGCCCTGTGGAGACCCCAAGCCCGGTCTCCACTCTGCGCGCTGAAAGCCCGCCGGCCGCCTCCCCGCCCGCACGCCCTCCGGGGGCCGGCTCCCCTGCCCAGCGCCACGCCGGGCGTCACGGGCCAGGCTCAAGGCGCGTGTCCCAGTCACGCGCTGGAGGCACAGGACAGAGATGGCGGCGGACGCGGACGCTCTCGCTCAGCGGCCCCCACGCCGCGGTTTCTTAAAACAAGTCACTAAATAAAGTCTCATGTTGTTTCATAAAAAGTAGCGCGCCCCCTTCAGCGGCCCGGGGCCGTCCTTCGTGACGGGGTGCGAGGGCCCGGCACAGCTGGCCGCACAGCCAGGGCCCCGGCACCTGGCCTGACCAGAGGAGGTGCGCGGCGCCTGGGCTGGGCAGTGCGGTTCCTCCTCCCTCCCCCACTCCCGGCCACTGCCACATGCTGAAGTCCACCCACGGCGGCCACTGCCCCGCACCCTGGACTCCTCTCTGTGAGTAGGTGCTCAGGGCCTCCTCCGCGCTTCTCCGGACCGCCCACCGGCTGGGGCTGTACTGCTTCTCCAGCTCCTGCGGGGACACACGCCAGGCTCCGTGAGGCTTTGCCCTGCCCCCGTGCGACCCGACCGAGCCCCCCCCAGGCTTGCCCAGGGGCCCTCGGCCTCCTCCACGCCCCGCCCGGCTGACTGTCCCCTGCTAGTGAATTAGGTGCCTGGGCCCCGGTGCTACAGATGCGCAGACGTCTGCGGCCTCGGAGGCACAGCAGCAGCCGCCACGCCTCTGACCGCGGACAGCTCTGAGGGGAGATGGGGCCCCTCAGGTGTCCCAGTGATGCCACAGTGGGGCCAGTCCTCTCTGGGGTCCCGGGGGCTGGGGTGGCCGAGGCAGGGATATGGCGGGGACGTGCGGCCGGTCTTCCCTGAGGGTCAGGGTTCCAGCTGCCAGACACAGGGCAAAGTGCAGAGGTGAGGGGGAGGGGACAGGGTCAGTTTGTCAGTGCTGACTGTCCAGACTGCTGGGCGCAGAGGCCAGCGGGGACGCTGGGGCTGGGCGGGGGTCTGGCGGGCTCCGGTGCTCAGGCTTAGTGCGAAAGCCAACGGCCGTGGGTTCGGGAGGGAAAAGGAGAAAGAGGACGGCTAGAGGGGCCGAGGGCGGGAGGCCTCCTGGGGGCCGGGCCCTGGAGCCAGACGGGCTAAGCGTCCCGGGGGCTTTTCCTGGGGCCCCTCCTGGGGGAGTCAGTAATCAGAACAGCCTCCAGGGCTAAACAGACAGAGCTAACCGCCCGCGGGCACCTCGCCCTGCCCCTGGGTGCCGGGCGTCTAGTCCCTGCAGTGCCCCCGCGCCATGGCCGTCCCAGGTAATCACGGCGATGGCCCCGCGAGGGTTCTGCGCGTGCTCCCATGCCGGGGCCAGCGTGTGGGAGGCGCAGAGGTAGCGACAGACGCACCTAGAATGGCGTTTCTTGGGGGCCCTGTCCTAGCTGATGAGATTCTCAGATGTGCCTGCCCGCTGGCTGAAATGCCGGCACCTGCTAGCAGTGACATTCGGTGCCTGTTGCTTCTAAGCCCCAGCACCCTGCCTTTCTGCATTCTTCAGCTTCTGAAACCCAAGAGCAGACAGGCGTGAAATCTGAGGCTCCGGACAGGGATTGCTTCACCTCCTGTAGGTTTATGGACATTCACAGACCTGAGCTTCCACTGTCCCTCCTCTTAAGATCTGGCTAACAAAGTCCTGGCGGTGAGAAATAAAACTGAGAGGATGCTAAGACCTTGGGGAGCCTTGGGCAGGGGGATCTGGAACCTTCCAAGTCTCCTGTAACCTCTGGCTACACCCTCCAGCCCCAGCCGCAGCCCACCTACCTCTTTAGTCATCTTCTCCCAGGGCGCCTCGCCCTTGCGACTCCCGCGGGGGACTTCCATCCTGCCCTAGAGCGCCCGGGGCGCGCCGGCCCAGTTATAGGGGGCGGGCGAGGCGGGGCTACGTTCAGGCCCCGCCTCGCTGGAAAGCCACGCCCGCTCGGAGCCACGCCCCGCTCGGAGCCACGCCCCGCTTGGAAGCCACGCCCCTGGGCTGGAGCCTGGAGCGAGTCCAGCCCACCAGGGGGCGGGATGGAGTCAAATCTCCCGCCAGTTCCTCTGCCGCGCGGCGATTGGTTCCCGGGAGGCAGCGCCGGCTTCTGATTGGTCGGCGCTCCGGGGATAAAGGGTGTGGCGCGGGAGCCCGCGCTGGCTTGCGAGGGTGCGGCGCGGGGTCTCAGCTTCGGGAGCTTCCTGCCGGCGCCATGAGCTGCATCAACCTGCCCAACGTGCTGCCCGGCTCCCCCAGCAAGACCCGGGGGCAGATCCAGGTATGCGCGCGGGAGCAGGGTCCGGCACGCGGGGGCCGCGTGGCTGCGCCGCACCCGGCCGTGGTGACCTCCCCTTCTCTCCTAGGTGATCCTCGGACCCATGTTCTCAGGGAAAAGGTGAGGGCCTCGTGACGGGGCCGGGCACCCCTCGCCCCTCCATCCTTGCCGCCCGGGACCCTCCTCCCCGCGCCCCTGCGGGCTGCTGCCCCTCGGCCCCCCCAAGGGCCCGCGTGACCCCCTGCGCCCCGGGGGGCCGCCCTTGCGCCCCTTCCTGGAGCCGCCTCTGCAGCCCTCTCGCCAGGTGCCCAAGCCCCTCTGAGGTCGCGTCTCCTGGGCCGCCTGTGCTGGCCCCCAAGTCGGATTGAGCCTCCTCAGATGCGGCCAGCTGGTTACTTTCCACTCCGAGTTTCCGTGCTGGAAATTTTGGAGGGTTGAAGTGGGGCTAGTGGGCCCCCCCGCGTGGGCCTGGGGGATCACCAGGCTCCCCGCCCAGAGGCAGCATTCTTTGCCGAGATGCGTGAGCTCCGGACCTGCAGGCTGGCCCCTGGGCCCCTCTGGGCGGGAGACTGGGCCCTGCTGGGCTTGCTCTGAGGGTCTGAGGCCTCGTGCAGGGCCTCGGGCTGCGCCGGGCAGTCAGGGGCCTCACGGGAGTCAGGGGCCTCACGGGTGTTCCTCTCACTCGCAGCACGGAGCTGATGCGGCGGGTGCGCCGCTTCCAGATCGCCCAGTACAAGTGCCTGGTCATCAAGTACGCCAAGGACACGCGCTACAGCAGCAACTTCTCCACACATGACCGGTCAGTCGGCCCTCCCGGGGCCTGTCCGAGCGGGGGTTGGGGGTGGCTGCTGCTGACCCCTGGCACGGAAGCGCGCTCCCCGGGCCGCTTGGCGAGGCGCGTGGTCCCCGGCCTCCGCGGGCAGTCTCAGTGCCAGCGCCCGTGGGCCTGTGCCGGGTGTGGGATCCCGACCGCCCCTGCGCGGAGGTCTTGTCTGGCCAGTCCTGCCTCTCCTGGTAGCTGCCCCGCCGTGAACCCGAACCCGGTGGGGCCTGACATATCTAAGCCTCCGACACACACCGCGCCCTGCGGGCTGGCCCCCCGAGCCTCGGGCAGCACAGCCACGCTGGGCCGCACACGGCACGGGGCTTGTGACCTCAGCCACAGCGGTGGCCTCAGGGCGGGGCCCCGGCTTCCAGAGCCTGGAGTGGGGTGTCAGCGTGGGAGCGACCCTGGCGGAGCTGGCTGGTGCCGCTCATTTCGCTCTCCCAGCTTGCGTCCTCATCCCGAAAACGTGGTGTCCACTGCGCAGGGCGGGCAGCAGTGACGCTGCCGTGAGCAGAATGCCCCGAGGTCGGTCGGGGGGAGATCCACGCCCTGACGAGTGTCACAAACACCCTAGAGGGCTGAGGGGCCAGTGGGCCGGGCTGCCGCCGTGAGCACCTTGGCTGTGAGCCCGGGACGCTGCCGGGCTCGGCTGGCTGCTGGCGGCCACCCCCCTACGGGGGGGCTCCCCGGACCCCGAGGTGGGATTGCAGCGAGGTGATCACCAAGCGGGTGGTAAAGGGTTATTTATATTTACCTAAATGCACCTACCAACTGCTGGAACTTCAGGAAGCTGAAGCTCCTTTGAAGGCCAGTTCGGAGGAAAGAAACGTTGTAGAAAAACGGATCTCCGGAGGGCCGGTCCTCTCCCAAAGGGCCTGGCTGCACGGCCGGGTCATGGACAGGCGCACGCCCTGGTCAGCTCTGCCGGGCGGGGCTCTCCCGCGGGACACGGGAGGCCGCGGTGCCCTCGTCCCAGCCCTGCTGGTGAGGAGCTGGGTGAGCTCGGAGAAATCCGCTCAGCTGCCGAGGAGCCGGGTGGCGCGGGTGCACTCGGGGCTCACGGTCCTGCATGTGCCGGCGGTCCGCCCGGCGTGGTGGGGCTCTGGGGCCCGCCTCCATAAAAGGCAAAAGCCTACATTGCCCCTTCTGGTTACACGGACATAAAGGCCGACAGAACGCAGCCCGCGTCACACGTTCGTAGTCGCGTGCTGGTTTGTCTTTTATATATTATAATAGTATTATGATACTTATTTTACATCACTTTGTACTTTTTTTTTTTTCATCTCAATTGTAATCCCCGTGGTTCTGCTGATGTTTTAAAAGAGGGGACACTGTGGCCCTGGTGCTGTGCCTGGTGCAGCCACCGCGTGCCGGGGTCTTCCCGTCCTGGTGCAGCGTTCGATCAGACCAGCTTATTCCGGCCCGGAGCGCCCAGCGGGATGGCTGCCGCCGCGCGGCTGGTGCCCGAGCGAGGCCTTGGT